TGGTCGGGTCCGTGCCTGCTGATTCTTGCATAGTTGTCACCAGAAAACCTTCGGTTAGCCAGTTGGACCACTGTTTGTTTAAAGTTATCGGTGTTTTGCTAGAGGTTTTCAAATCACAACAGGGCAGGAAGAAGTAATATTTATTTTCAAAATTGTGAATGTAGACTCCTCGTTCTCATCCATGTTACTGAGGGATAAAAGTTCCTCATCAACAAAAATGAAAATGTTGGATCTCTGCAACGTGGCATCATAATGAGATGCAAATAGGAAGCACAGAGTTGCCTCAACCTTTTATTATCCAAGGCCTGAAGCAGGAGAATGACAGTCTTCATGGTCAGTCATACAAATTATGTTCCCATTGCTTATCTGTTTTCAACTATTTTCTGTGAATAGCCCAGTATAGTGTGTTGGCAGTTGTTTTCACTTGTCAGGAAGCCACAAGCCGGTCAGAGGTGCTCGGCTTTCAAATGAAAAGTGACTGGTGTAAGTTGTCTCTTCTGTGTCTTGTGGTGGTGAAGACCTTGAAGTGTGTTCTTGAGTGAGATGTAGACACTGTTGCAGACGGAGTATTGTTTGGCCTGCAGAGCCTGCCAAATACGAGCTGTTGTTGGTCCCCTGGGGTATGCACCACAAGGTCAGCATCCTGTGCGGGGTTGGTTCCTCCTCTGGAAACTTCAGCCTCCAAAAGGAAATTACACAGCTCAAAAATTTGATGGGTTTTGGTTTTCACTCATGGAAGTTTGCCTGCAGTCTGCAGGATTGTCTTTCCAAAGCAAGGTGCTTTCTTTTTCTTGAACCATGCATGTGCTTCCTGTTATTAAAATGTAATTGTATTTAAAGCTGGCAGGTTTTGTAGCTTCGTGTAGGTTGTGAATACAAAACCTGTAGTTTTATAAGGTGATTAAGTAGTTACTGCTAAACAGGTGAATAGAATTATAGGGCTTTTTTCCCCCTTCATTGTATAATAATGATAATTTTGAAAAAGAGTAGCTCTGGCCAAGGCATTGCAGTGTGTATGTTTCAGAAGATTTGGTTGGTCCTTTTGATGCAGTATGGCAGCATATTCTGTAATCTACATCCACAACTTTAGTATGTTCTGGCCACATAGATGTTCATCTGCAAATGAAAACAAGCTTATTAATTGTTTTGTTTGGCTTCTGTCATGCCATTTTGTCACATGCCAGTAGTATAAAAATCAGTTAATACTGATTTTCGCCTAGGGCAGCAGCTTCTCTCTGTTGCTGGCAGCCAGCATTGTATGGGAGCATCCTGTTCAAGGAGCATGCTCTTCCACTACTTTCAGAGAAGCTGCCAAGAGAAACAAATTGAAATAGATTCCTGCAAGAAGTAGTATACTGTCTGATAGATAAACATGGTGGTGCTAGGTATCCAAAGTGGTGTAAAACACCATTATAAGGAAGCCTAAACTATGGAGATGATCAATGCACTTATTTAGAATTAATTAGGACTTAGTTTTCTGTAATAATATGATTTAAGATAAAAGGAAAAAAAAGGCTTAAACCAAGATGTATTCCATCTGTAAAGATGGTACCTCTAAAATTATCCCTCATACGTATTTATGCAGGTATTTAAGACATATCAACTACAGCTGCAGATATCAAATTTCAGAAGAGACATAGAAAAGTCAGCACTCATTGTTTCAAAAAGTATGTAAACTTTGCTACTTCATTGGGACCATGGGCTGCACGCATGAGAACTTTACTCAAACTAGAAAATAGAAATGAATTTTTTTTTCAATGCTTTGCCTGTACTTGCAAAAATACATTAGATCTTCCTAACCATCAAAATGATTTTAAAATGGCATGCCTCTTACACCTTTGCAGTTCAGTGCACTGTGGGGTTTTTTGGATTTTTTTTTTTTGTCAGCATCAAAAACTTTGGTCCTGTTTCCTGTCTTACATGTTCCTTTTTAATTGATTCACTTTATGTAAAAAGGCTTTCTAGACAACGTCACCGTTTTTGTAGGATTTGGTAATTTACTCCAATTTTTTCCTGGAATGCAAAATGGCAAAAGTTGCCTAGTGATAACATTTGCCTTATAAATTGCCCTCCTGCATAAACGCGCATGAGCTGGGCTCTGTTAGAGTGCAGGAGAAGACAGCTCAGACGAGTGTGTATTCATAGCATGTATGAAGAGTGTTTTCTAGAATAATGTTATTTTCATTAATGCCCCTGCCTGTAATGAAAAGGCAAATTAATAGAGATTGGTTGAATGGAAGCAAATAATGGCTAGCATATGTTTTATTTTATTAATCTGATTAAAAGATCAGTAAATAACAATAGGCATCTTGAGTCTCGTGTTCAAATTCATAGTTTGTATTAATGGTGTTGCTATTTAAATATTGATTGAAAAATAAGGAACAGGAAACGGCTGTAAACATAAATGTTTTATATTATTTCTGCAAACAAGCAGTGCAATACTGTTTATTTTAAAGATTTGTTTGTTGCATGCTATATAATACATCATGGTTTACTTGGAAAAAGCTTGTCGTGTTGACATTTGCTTCAAAACTTATAGAGCTTCAGCATCTGAATGTTTTTTTGAAAATCACAGCATTCTCCACTAACATGTTAATGACTGGCTGGTGAATTGGTTTCAGATGGATGTATTATCTATATTCAGACTTAGAACTGGAAAATAAATTCTCATTTTATATTTCTTTGACTTTTTTTTTTGCTTAATACACTTTCTCTTATTTTCTCTCCAAAAGAAAACTCCCCACACGAACTGACTGGGTGCATGTGTACCTCTTTGATATAACATAAAGTCGAGTCATGCTCAGACCTATTATCAGGCTGTGACAACTGGGTCTCTGCTGCTGGATGCAGTTACATGTCATGCAATATTCTGATATTGTTCAGAATAATTCTGATATTATTCGTACTTTCTAGTCCATATACAGGCCCATGAGATTTGCTGTAGTCTGCAGGTTATCATGCTCATGAGGCTTTTCATATCAGAGCTCAGGATTAAAAGGATTTAGCTTTAGAATTCTGTCTAAAAGCAGGCTTTAATAAAATCCAAGTTTAGGACCTATGTCCTAAAATGCTCTTTCATGTCTGAGCATTGACTGTGCTCAGCTTTTCTAATGCTGAAGCTTGACAGCTTAGATGCCAACCTAATGGAAGGGGTGGTCAGGAGGAAGTTGAGGACCACATCTCCCTCCCGCTGCCTCCATAGTTTACATATTTATTTTTAACAGAACTAGGAGTATTCTGTTCTGTTGAACTGTTCTTAGCAGAGCAATAGTAGAAAAATGCAGTCTTGTTCTGTGGATGCTTGTGTCCTGTGGCAGTAGCGGGTGAGTTCCACATCCTGGAGGCAAATGGTTTTGTTGGCCAGTATTTAGAATACTAGGGTGTGTTTATTCAGTTTGGTTAGTGAGCTCTGAGAAATGATTGAAAGTGTCTATAATTCCTTGTACAGTAGCTTGTGTGGCCTATCTTCAACAGTTTGTTGTATGGAGCTCGAATCAGACTTTGAGCAGTAGCTTGGTTGGGGTTTTTTGTCATCTAATACAGAGTTTGGCAGTGTGGCAGCTGCTGTTTGACTTAGTCCTCAGCTGGCTCCTAATGAAATCAGTGTTAATTAGCCTTCCGTTTGGGGGTTCTTGGAGGTAATCTTATTGTGTTGTCAGTAGAAAAAACTTCATCCCTACTTCTGCAAGGTAAATCTTGGGTGTAGAGTATCTTTTTACTACACTGTTACTCTGACCTCTCTTTTGCACTGCAGTGAAGCCCTCCAGGACTGGAGCTGAGAGAGGCAGAGAGGTACTTGCAGACCGCCAAAAGCCACAGGGTGCATTGCTGAACCCCACTTTACCTTACTGAAAAGGTGGACAAACTGCAAGTAGGAGAGAGCTCTTTCAGGGACCATCAATCAAAGTAAAGTATTTAAGCCTCATTCCATGTAGTGTAAGGTGTGAAAGAATAGTTTCCATTCACTATAATCTATGAGCGAAGGTGACTTTTGTAATGTGGCAAGGTGTGCAACTACTGTGTAATACAATTACATGATTTACATTCAGAAAAAAACCTCTTATTAATAATTTAATTTTAAAGGAATGCTTCTGTGCTGTATTTGACTTGTATATAAGACTTGTTTCATCAGATTATTAAATATTGGTGTTCATCTATTTTTAAATAGTATTGAACAGTTTAAGTAAACTTCAGGGAATGTAGAATATCAGTTTGAAAAATAATACAATTGCTCAATAGAATCCTTTTCTATCATTAACAAAAGCTAACTGTAGTTGAAAACATCACTGATATCCCTTGATGACATAGCATAGATTTCAGAGTATCATGTTTATAGAAAATGTTTCCAGATTTTAATAACACACAAACATTCTGTGCAGCACTTGTATTTCCCATGTCTTCCTCTGAGCATTATGTTCCAAAAGCCTTTTACAAAGGCTGAGGTTTAGTACCTTTGACCAAGAAATGTAACAAGCTGAAATCAGGAAAGGTGAAATAGCACATCTCTACCCTCAGCCAGTTTGAAATAATAAATTTTAAGGTTTTGGATACAGAAGTCAGAACATACCATAGCGTAGGATTTGAAGGTTTGCAGCTGGAAAGGTTAGGATACGGTATTTTCCAATATACCTTGTTTATAGATTAAATTGAAGACTGACTTTATAGGCACTGATTTTGCTAGATTGTGGCAACATAAGGACACTCAAAAATTTTAATTGCAGGAGGAATAAAATCCAGAAATGCTTAAACATGTTCTTCCTTTTGTAACAGGTGACAAGTCAATATTTGCATGAACCACTGATTTAAAGAACCATTACATTCCCACTTTAATCTTCTAATAGTTTATTCCACTAAGGAAGAGTCAAAACAAGAAACATGATTGTGATGAAACAGTGATTGTTTCAGAATTAATCCACACCCATTTTTTTAACACCAAGAATGCTTTTCTTTTTATTTTGAAATTTCAGGAGCTCCAATTTCAAAGACTTACCAGAGAACTGGAAGTGGAAAGGCAAATTGTGGCTAATCAGCTAGAAAGATGTAGGCTTGGAGCAGAATCACCAAGTATCGCCAGCACAAGGTACAAGTCCTGATGACTTTACTTTCATATGTCCCATAAATTAAAGGGCTTCTTAGTGATGCTTATGTCCTACATACATATATTTTCACTGATAGCTGTTCACCTTCCATTAATATCTGAACTATAAAAAACCCTGCAGATTTGCTGTAAAGAGTTATGGGACAGTTTAAAGAGGCCTCTCTAATAACTGATTACGTATTCAATAGAGTGTATGTAAAACTTTAATTTCTCTTTAAATATGTCAAATTTTACTTTTAAGATTCAGCCAAAGTACAGTAGACTTATACATATTTGTATCAACGTAACAGTGCTAGTTAAATGCAGTAATGGGGTTTTTTTGTTGTTTTGGTTGGGTTTTTTCCTGTATTAACTTACGTAGTTTCATCCAGGTTTTCTGAAATACTTTCTGTTGTTACATTTGTTTTCAGGGAACATCTTGCTATAAGTGTATTGTTAGCATATTTAAACAGTGTGAAACATACCTAATATATTTCACATACAATGACAATAACTATACCAAAGCATTTTGTTAATATTTGAGCTGTAACTAATATTCTGATTATTTATTTTATTCTACTTCTTTAGCAAACTTCTAAACTCTGAATGTCTTTGGGCACTCATTCATCTCAAGCATATCAAATGATTGGTCGCTTTTGAATCTGAAAGTCTTGGAAACAATGCATTCTCTTATGAAACATTCATACCTGCATTTCAGGTTACAGCAAACTTCATGTTGGCATGTACATAGAGAGTGTGCTCTGAACATTATTATTTTTTGCCTTAAATGCTATTTGTTTCTATATTCTGTCAGCAGTAAACTTGAGTATCATTCTGAAGTGTTTCCTCCTGTGGCCATAATAAATATTTCTGCAAGTTAAATGGAAATATTTTCCTACAAAAACTTAAGAAACAGGAGATGGTTATTTAAAAATAAATTTAAAAAATCCAGTGTACCAGCTACCATAGTTGTTTCTATACATCAAACTACTTGACCCGAGTTGTCATTTGACAGTATTGTTACTACCATGAGAACTTTTGTTTAAGAAACTTTGAAATATTCAAAAATATTCCTTGGACAAGATGACTATTTTATACCCTTCATACTTGCCTATCTTCCCTCTAGATCCAAAATTTCTCCAGCTGTTACTCATATTTTGTTTTGAAAGCTAATAAAGTTAATTGCTATGGAAGAATAAGTAAAAAGCTTCAGTTATTTTATGCCTCCAACCACTTTTCATTCAGTCTTGAATGTCCATTTTCATTGAATTTGCCTGAGTAATACAAAGGAAGAGGTTCTTCTACATCCCAACTCCAGAGAATTTCACATGCAAAGAATACCAGAGTTAGCTTATCCCACAAATAATACTGTGTAGATTTTGAAATAATGTACAATTACCAGTATCTACACAATAAGTTAGAACCTATACTTCTATCAAATACTATCATTTACCAAGATGGAAAACATAATTTATAGCATCATGGAGTAATTTCTTCTTGTGGTTACTTCCTTATGGCTAAATGATATTTATTTGTATTTAAAAAAAAAAAAAGATTATAAAAGTTCAGGGGGAGAAAATACTAGCACATCAATTGATTTGTAGTATACTTTGGTACAAGTACATTTGTGAATCTAGATAAAATCTTCAAGTGCTTGTTTTCTGGGCCATAAATTTTCCATAGTTATTAATAAAATATTCTACACATTTAAAATAAAAGCCTAATTATAGTCTTTGTTCTTACAGACACTTCTGTATTCTGACCACTGTTCTTATTTTTCTAAATTTTCTTATCTCAGCTGAGTCTGGTCCTGTATAGATGAGAATGCTATACTACATTACTTTTTTACTGAGGGACATGGGATTAAAACTTGACTTAGACAATATGTTCTGAGGTCTGTGTGTCCTTGGTTAATGCTTTACTTACTCTTTAATGTGGATATCCCTTTTAAGAGATGTGTGAGAAGCTGAAAAAAATAATATCCATATTTGAATTAGATGCTTTCATTTCTTCACAACCAGTTGTTTCCAGTGTAGTTAGAAGAGTTGTTGAAAGAATGAAGGTAAAACAATCTCTTGGAGCAGTATCACAGCAGACACAAATATAGCAGCAAAATTTATAGCCATAAAAAGGTACTTGTGTTTCCCTGAACTAGGTGATGTAAATGTTTTGCTAAGACAAGAAATTAAATAAACACAAAGAGGGCATGGAGAGAAGACTTGGAAACTGAATGCTGTGTTGAGAGATGGGTCATGAAGAGCTAACAGCCTGCTCCCAGAAACACAAAGAAATTAAGTATTTAGAGAGCAAGATGATCTTTCTCCTAGCCAGATGTAAGAATTGTCTGAGAGATTCCTGTATATAAAAAAACCCACACAAAACCAAAACAATGACTAAAACTAGAAAAGCAAGCAAAACTAAAGCAGAAGATGTGTATGCCTTTTTATCTTTTGTTCAAGTTTTCTGTCCCTGAGGAAATCAACAATGCTTTGTTTCAAAGATAGTGCTTTAATATGGTTAAAACCTTTGGGAGCATTTCATTTCAGAGGTCCAGCTGAAGGTTTTTTTGAAGTTGGTGGTCGTAGCAGTGCCTCTGACTTACCCACTTCTAAAGTGGATTCCTGCAAGCCAGCATTTGCCTGGAGGTGGTGCTGCTTTGCAAAAGAGATACTGACAGGAAGTCGCAGGTACGCCTGTCTTGGTAGTTGCAGCTTGGGCTTCGAGCTGTTGTGGGTGTCAGTCAAGTCATCACTGAGCCAGCTCATCACGCAGTTGCACAAGTCGTAGTAGCAGCTGGCAAGGGAATGGGGAAATGCAACATCACTACCTCAAAACAGCTTCAACTTCCTTGCAGCTAGTACGTGGAGCTTCTCAGCTAGTCTTCATGGCCGTGAGCCCAAACACTAGCATGGTATGAAGTGCGGGCCATGCAGGTGTACACCTGGATAAATCCATCTGGATTTATCTGTCTGGAGGTAGGCACTGGTGATCAGACTGTCACCTACTTGAGCGTGCCTGAGAAGGACTCCCATTTCAGAAGCATGGTTCATCCTGTTACTGCTAGTCCTTAAGAAATGTGTGTATTCCTTTGTACTCATGAACAAAGCAAAACAAACAGAAGGTACATGTAGTTTCGGTTTATTAGTCTGTTATCCACCTCTATTACAAGTATATTGTAAATGCAAGTAACTCATGGGAGTAGTTGGCTGTTTTGCTTTCTTAAGAGGAGTGTGAAAGGTGAGAACGAGCAGATCTGCAGGTCCTAAGCAGTTGTAGTGTAATGGGTGGAGGAGGAAGCGCTAAGTCAGCTGCAGGCCTGAATTCCAATACAGCTTTATTTTTGTGTACCTGTAGCTTACTTGCCTATTAAAATTATTTCTTCTCATAATTATTTTTATAAATGGATATTGTGCTCAGCACTTCTGAGATCTTTCGTGGCATCCTGTACACTTTCAGACCTCTTAAGAGCCTAAAATGATACATGATTAGTGTTACATGCAAGTATTAAATATTTTTATCCACATTATACGCTACAAGATGGGAGAAGATAGCCTGGGAAAAACAATGCAAGCTTTCAGTTGTATCTTCTTTCTTTTGTTTCATGCTAAAACATGCACAGGTTTCTGTGAAGAAGCCACTGGGCTGTTCAGCCTCCCATACAAACAGATACGGCACTGCAGCTGACTTTCATCTCGGTGGTGGCGTATGTGCTGACGCGCGTAGATGGCAGTAGGTACCGAGGGTCAGTAGTTGGGCTCGCTTTATCACACATATTGCCTAACCTCTCAGGTGAGAGTTGGCTGTATGACTCGCACAGCTGACTAATTCTTTTTGTGAGTTATCTATTGTGTGTAACTCATGAAAACTGTGTGGTGCTGTGAACCAAAAGGCTCATACTTAGTAATTTAATTGTAAAATACTGCACTTGTAATAGCAGCTTGTCACAAGCACTTTAACAACAGAAAAGTATATAAGTGGCACACTAGACTTCATCAGCATGCAAGTCCTTTTGGCAGTACAGTAAATAATCAAAAAAATGTTAATGCTTCGAGTACTGAATGGTCAGTTTGTGTAATAATGTGCCTATATGAAGTCTTCTATGTTTTGTAACAGTAAATTTATTGCATAGCTACTAGGATGGGGTTTTTTCTCTGCTTTACATAGCAGATATTCTTCTTTTCCCAATGCCAGCTGAAATACAATGTGCACTTTCTGTAGTAGTAGAAAATATTCCAAAGTGATTTAGTAAAATATTGCACTCAGTGATTGAACACTGTAAACTTTGTGAGATGACCATGTATTGCATTTCATGGTCACACATTTTTTTTCTCATGAAATGGGAGAATGCTTATTAAGGGTGTAAACAGAGCAAGTAGTTTTATTTGAAAGCCTGCTCGCCATCACGTTAAGCTCTGTAACTTTTGTTCCACTTGAGGAGCAGTAACATGCGAGACACTTCCAAACCGTGTGCCGCCCCCACGCTCGGGCATTCCACAGCATGCAGCAGCAAGTTTATCCCGACAAGATTGTTCACAGTGTAATTATCCTTACAGAAACTAATTTCATTTTGTTTGTATGATGTATCAAATATCTCAGCACTTCCAAAAGGTGTATTTGAAATTGCTTGCATGTATTGCAATACGTGTCATCCCCAAACTTTCATGGCAAATTATAAGTTCTGTAAAAATTACCTTTAGAAATCAGTATGTGCTTTCGGAGCAGGAATAGGGAAGGAATCACAGTAATTTAAACTATTTATTTATACTAATATTACACTTACTGAAATTTGAAAACAAATCAATTGAAGGGCTACATTTAATTTAAAAGTGAGAAAGAAAAGATATACTTAATTTTCATTGCAGAGCTTCAGCGTAAAATAAAAGCAGAGCTAAAATGTATTTGACAGAATGTAGCTAAGTAGTGAATAATTTTAAATCAAGGATCTTCTAGTTGATCATCAGAGAGCTGTTGGAAGAGTATTTTGGGCACAGATAGTCCATTTA